CACATTTATCGTAATATTATCACAGATTGTGTTATGATTGGGGGATTTTCTCTGAAGGGGTTGGTGGGTGTGATTTGAAGATGAAGATAAGTCTGTTTTGTAAAATCACAAGAGAAAAAGTTTCTGAATTTCTTGTTCTGGAGTAAGGGAAAGCATTTATTGCAGAGGAATTCTGAAGCTCTGTGGTCATCACTGTAGTAAATAGAAAAGAGTAACTAATAATGGATGGTGTTTCGTGGTCAGAGTTTTGGTTATGGATTTAATTGTATGATGAGAATGTGAAGCTAATGGCAAAGTTCTGTTATATATTTTATGTGTTTTGTAGTCAGACTGGAAGTTAGCTGCATTAGAGTTACTATTTTTTTTTTTTTTTCAGCCATTGATATATGAGTCAGTTTGGTAAGAACTAAAGCATTCCGTTATAATGAATACTGTAAATTTTCAATGAATAAATATCTAGTTAAATGAATGCTTCCAGCTGCAGCAAATTTGTCATATATGTCTTAAGCTTGAAATGCACTCTTCTGCATTGCATTGCATGGCAAAATTCTTCAGAGTTCAGATGTGAGATCATATAGAAGACTTGATTGGTGCTACTCTTTTCTTTAATGTTCAATTTTCATTTGAGGATTGGTGGATTGTTGAAAGTTTCTTGTCATTGTTGGATTTGAGTTTTGTTGTATTGTTGTGTTATGTTGTTTTATGAGTATTGTAAGTGAGTCCATTCTATTCCTATAGATATCCAATAGTAACTTTATATTTCGTTTTATTCCATTGTTCCCAAATAATTCCATATATTTATTCTCTGCACTAGTTCGAGCCTTTGAGCAGCAGATTATAGGGTTTATGTATGCTGTGCAGTAAAAGTAACTGATATATATATATATATATAATGCTAAATTATTCACTGATATAATCTTTTGATTGTACTGCATAATCAAAGGCATGATGGTGCTACATAGAATTAGGGGGGCAAATGCACCCTTGAATTTAAGAAAAATTACAAGAAGAGCTCATATGTTCCAATATGTTGCACCCCTTGGTCCAAATATTTTACATTCCTTGGTCCAACTTTAAAAATGTTGTCACCAGTTGCCACAACAATGGTAGAAAATGACTTTTCTACTATGAAATTTGTAAAAAATCCGTTGCAGAATGCAAGAGATCCATTGATGAATAATTGTCTAGTAATTTATATAAGAAAAGATATTTTTCTTAACATCGACAAGGAGATGATTACTTAACGATTTCATAACATGAAACCATGCAGGATACAATATTTTTTTAAATTATTAAATTATTTTTTAAATTATGAATTTTAAAAATACTGCACCCTATAACCCAAGGTCCTTGCACTGCCATTCAAAGGTTTCTTTGTATTTTCTATATTGATGTTTTTTTATTGTGTTTGAAGTGAGCTTTTATCTATTAGGCCCTTTAACTCTTTATTTTTTAGGATTTGTTAGTTTAACCTTTTCACCGCTGTCAACATTATCTCTGGGATAAGAGATTTGTATCTTATCATTTATTTTTCATTTATTGAGATAGAAATTTGTAAAATTTAGTCAATCTCCCCCCCCCCCATGTACTGATCACATTGATGAATAATATACACAATGCGCACTGCGTTCTCACATATTGTATTGAGAATACTTTGTTTTGGTGTCTGAGAACTTAAACAATGTTCTTAATACTTTGCTTTATTGTTGAATGACAAATCAATTTTATAATTCATCATTTTAAATGAACTTCTATTTTTTTTTTCGATGGATAAAATTTTCTAATGATTAGGATAACATGGTTGAAGTTTAAATTTAGGTTGATAACTTGAACACCAAACAAAAGAATAGAAGTCGATTATGATAATTGAAATTTCTTGTACACTCCAAGCAAAAAATTTTAGTATTAGAATTTGAAGTTTTTTAAACTAGCCAAACAAAGAATTTTAAGTACATGAATTTGAAATGTGAGATTTGAAATTCAAAATAATAGTGTATAAATTTATTTGATCTTTATGGTGCATTAAGGGAGTGAATTTGTTTCTTTATAGATTAAGGGAATTTATGGATTAAGAGTTACAAAATGAAGGAAATATAGATTTAAGTATTAATGAATGTGTATGATAGTGTTTTGGGACTTCAGGAAATATTGTAGCTGATTATCAATGTGTCACTATAAGAAAGAAATTTATATAATTTTTAGACAATTTATTATAACTATGTGTGTATAGAGAGTGTTCAGAGAAAGAGAATTTTGATAAGAGGTTGTAAGGAGTGTATTATAGAGCTTGGCAACGCATATGGAAAGTGAATAGTGTCTTGATTAATTTATAAGCAAATTTCTTTTTATCAAAGTATTGTTTAAGTAGATTGATATGTATGCTGATTTAACTCTAATACTAATATTCATTATTGTGCCATTTGCAATTTGAAATATTTTTATAATGCCTAATTAGCTTTGGAGGAAGAACTGAAGAAGTTAGATTTGTGTTGTGATTGACCATCCTTATATTTTAAAGCAGAATGGTAACACTTGATTTTTTGACTTGGTAAAATATTTGATCAATGTGGTTCATCTATGGAAATAGTGAAAGAATTTTTCAAATGCAAGATATGATGGATTGTGGTGAAAAGAGATGATATTTGAATGATATATAGACTCCATGCATGTTTGTAAGAGGTTAAGAGATTGAATCTTAATACTAGTTTCCAAATCTATTAGCTCTTAACTTGTCATGGTTAATACCTAAGTATCTTGGTACTTGTGATCATCATGTTCACACTTGTTACTCGTGAGTTGTGTATTTATGCTTGTTTTTGTGGTTCTGAACTGTGCTTAATTAGGTAATTGGCCTCCTAGATTATATATTCACACTTGTTAGAGCTTTGGGATTTGTTGTTTTTAAACTGATTCTATTAAACAAGTTGTTTTATCTTGTGTTGGTTTTATTTGTTTAATGATACCAGTACTACCATTATTATTTAATAGTAGTATTTTTCATTTTTTGACCAACTGAAGAAATCTTCCATTAAAGATGAAAAGAACCTGAGTCTACAAAAGCGTGAATAACAACGGCAAAGAAAAAAAGTCACGAGCCAACATGGCAAAAACCTGAACAAACAAAACAGAAAAAGAGATAAAGGAAATTTTCCAATGCCCTCATGGGCACTGGCAATTACTGGATGCCAAAAACTATGCTGAGAGCTTAGGGTAAGATCGGAAAAGGAGGGGTGGGGGATCAGTCCGCTCCCTTTAGAGATAAGGCTTTCAACAGGATGAGCTGACAACCTGTTCCTCGCCCAACCTACATGTATTCGGACTAAATAAGCGGGCTAAAACTTGTCCATTAAAAGGTTAAAAAAAAGAAGAAGAAGAAGAACAGACCGACTGTTTTTACGGGGCAACTCGTTTGTAATGTGAACGGACACGACGGGCTATAGGTTGAGGAGAGGGTGTCTTTGGTTTTTTTTTTTTTTTTTTTCCCTTCTCCATTTCCCTTCTTTTTCCTCTCATCACTGTTGAATTAAAATTTCAACAATTTAAATTTGATTTTTGATAAAATTATTATTTTAATTTTATACAAAAATATATAAATAAATTTGAACTATTAAATTTTAATCTAAATCATTTTAAACTATAATATTTTAATTATATAAATTATGTAAAATTAAAATAATAATTTTACCAAAAATTAAATTTAAAACTGTTGAAATGCGTTGCCCAACAATGATGAGACGAAAAAAGAGGGGAAAAAAACAGAGAGACTCCCCTGAGTTTCTCCTCGAGGTGCCCATCCTAGCCTGATTACAGGTTCATATTAAAAACAAAAAAAAATATATATATATGTCTTTTGAACTCTTTATTTTACTTTTAGTTCTTATATTTTTTTTAAATGTTTTATATCTCAATATTTTTATTTTTTTATTATTTTTAATTCTTACACAAGTAAAATATAGGGACTTGGAAATGATTCAAAATAATAAAATTTAAAAATTAAAAATATTAAAAAATAAGTATAAAAATTAAAAATAAAATGCGAAGAAAATATAGAATTAAAAGTAATGTTTACTTTAAAAATAAATAAATGAATATTATGTCTCCCACTCTCCCTTCGTCGCTGCATTCTCATCTTTGCCTCTCTGGAGAAAAAAACAAAACACACCAAACCTCGCCTGCTTTGAGTCTCTTGCCCTCTCTCACACGCGCTCGTCTCTCAACTTTTTCTCTCATAATGGCCACTGCTTGCACTCGTCTCTGCCTTTGCTTCTTCAATCCTCAGTGAAGACCCTCCTCACCTGTCGTCTCGTGACCGTGAGTTGTTGTCCAGTATTGCTTTCGCCCACCGTCTCGTGAGTATGAGTTTGTAGTCCTTCATCCCTCTTCTTCTTCCCCCGTCTCCGTCATCGTTGGATCTGAACTCAGGTAGGAATAGATGCTCTTTTGTCAGTACCCAAAGCAGCCTTGATTTGAATTTTGCGTGGTTGAAATTGTTGTTGATAATTTTCTGGAACTTTGGGGCTTTTGTCGCTTTGTTTCTTGGTGTTTTGAGCAAAGAGTGAAGGATGATTTACTATGGGTCTTGAATTGTTGGTCTTTAGTAGCTGTTGTGCTGTGGCAATTTCTGAATGATGCGTGGGGTATTTTTGCTTGGAAGCAGCTGATGACGGCAGATATCACGTTTACTTCTTTCATGAGTTATTAACTTATCAAACCTCTTGTGTTCGTGATCTTCTGGTGATGGAACAGTGGCACCTTGTTCTTGTAACTTAGTTAAAGATAAAAATTTTAAGTGTTTGTTTAAGGGATTGTGCCTGTTATGATTATGATTGGGTTTTCAAGCCCCCAGTCCCTATAATGTTGTTTCCTCTTATAGATTAGTTATGGTCCTTGCGTGTTTTCGCATATTTGTTTTTCGGGGAAAAAAAAATTTCAGTGTACAAAACGGGCTACTCCAGCTCGCCCTGACCAGTACGAGCCAGCCCAGAACGTTTTGAAACGGCTCAAATGGGCCATATACGGATACGGGCTGGCCCAACCCGTTTCGTGCAAAACGGGACGGGCTATGGGCGGCCCCTTGAGCCAGAACGTCCTCCACATTGCACAGACCTAGCTGCGAACCAATTAGCACTAGGGTTTCCTTCCCGCTTGACAAACGAGAAAGCAATGTGATCCGAAGACTTGAGTGTTACAATTAAATCCTCAAGAGAGTGCATGAAAAGTTCATGGACAAAAGGAAGCATCTCTATGAGAAATAGCGCCATAGAGCTCCAAGCAATCCATTTCAATCACAGTTTTAAAGCTTAAAACCTAGTGTCTTCTTCCTTCGATTAAAACCAATTTCATACAACCTGTAAGTGAGGTTTGTTTCTTTCCTCATTTCATCAGTAGCTAACTATCTGAACTTGTCTGATACTGCCATCTCAGTCGTCACCTTGTGAGGTCTGTTCATCTATTCTCTTCCATTCATCTCTCTCTCTGATTGTTGTGACTTTACGTTGTACATATCTTTTGAATAGCCTACTTTTCATCGTCTCGGTAATCATTTTCCTGCGTCAATTAACTTTATCTGCTTGCTAGAAAAGAAAAAATGCTGACTTTATCTGTTTCATTTTAGTTATGTAAGATGCGTACTGAAGGAAGCAACCGCTCACGAGCTTCAGCAGCTATACCTCCTCGCAAAATCAATGTGCAGAAATATGCAGAATCTCGAGCTCTTGAGCTTGAAAGTCTCCACTCTATTATAGCGAAACGATTAAATAGTGATTTTAGGTCCCAAAGAAACAAGAGAAGAAGAACAACTGCATATGATAACCAAAATGCTAGAAAGCGTTGTAGAAGAAAAAGAAGAAAATTGGAAACACTTGATACCAGCCATTCTCCTGTTTTGGAGAAGGAGCAGATAAATAAGCTGCCTAGGCGTGTTCGACGGAGACTGGAACTCAAAATGAACCTAGAGAGTGGCTTTTGCAGTTCGGGTGATGGAACTAAGAGGCTGAGAACTCATGTTTGGCATGCTAAGCGGTTCACCATGACCAAGCTTTGGGGTTACCACCTTCCTCTAGGTCTGCAAGGCAGGTATTGTTATCCTTGGATTAGGAGCTGAGGACTGTGACCTTAATCAGTAACTATAGAGAACGATACTTCATGATATAAACAAAAGAAACTGAAGAAGGAGACATGGGGACTTAACTTTAATTTACAAATAAAATGTAGTATTCATGTTTCATTTTCTAGGATGCTGAATCATGGAAATTTGATGCTAAAAGATGTGGCTACTCAATACTTAAATTTTTTCCCCTTCATCTTTTCCAATGCATGAAGTACTATTACTGAGATTATTTTGGAAACACTAACAAGGATTATGCGTGAATTTAGGAAGGGGAAGGGGTTCAAGGGCACTTTTGAAAAGGCTTAAACAAGGGGTGCTTGTACATGATGCAAGCTATTGTACTGCCCTCCAATTGGAGGGTCCAGAGGTGTGTATTCTTTTCATTTTAAGCATTGATTTTTTGTTCTGGTAGTCTATGTAAGAATAATTTTCTCTTTTGACTTGCATGTAGATCTTTGCATCAAGTGCAACATTAATTACGCCATATTCTTAGAAGTTATAACTTTTTGTTGATTATTATAGTTTGGATCTTGTGTACAGGATTCCTTGATTTCAGTATTAAGAATGGTACTGATGCCTTCCCCAAACACAGATGACGGAAATAATGATGATTCTGTTCTTTCTGGTCTCACCTATGGGACTGCTATGGTAGGTCACCCTTTTGTAGATTCTACTATGACATTGGTTATTAAGGTATTAAAACAGAATAATTTTTTTTTTTTATGGGCAGCTTTGTGGAGTAGGAGAACCTTCTCATGTGATTGCTCCTGTGACCTATATGTGGCGATCAGTTTTCCATCAAGATATGAGTTTAAAGCTTGATGGTGTACAGCATAGGACTTCCTGTAGACAGCATGACAGAAGTGATGAAGCAAGCAGACATGACATTGATGAACGTGATAAGTTTGACAGTATGAGACCTAGTCCTTCCTTTAGACAACTTTGGGTTTGGATACATGCTTCTGCCTTTGGAGAAGGATATGATATGCTAAAGCTAGCCTGCCATAAAGAGGTTCACTGTCTTTCATAGCTCCTTTGTGGCCATCCCCGTTCTATTTTGTTTTATTTGTTTCATCACAGTATATACACTTGATAAAGAAGATTGGGGGAGGTTGGGTGAATTTACTTTGTAACATTTTTTATCTTGGCCTACTGTGAAACTCTTCTAGCTGTGTCAAAATTTCGTTCTTTACACTGAGCAGTTAAGATGTAATTTGGGTATGTAGATCCTCATGTCTCATTATTGTCACTTAGTGTGAAATGTTATTGTTGATAGAGTAATGCCACCCCCCACTCATGTCTTTCGATAAACTGCACCTTTATCTGCATATGGTTGAATTAATATGCAGCTCACCATTCAGTTGACTGCATTTAGAGATTTTTCTTTTCTAAGATAAAATATAGAAGGTTTAGGTTTGGGGGGGTTTATATTGCTGCATTGTCCGTAGAGAATTTTTGGGAAACTGACATGAATGCTAAAATGATTATTTGTTCAGATAATATTTAAAATCTTCCTCAGTGTGTTGCACGCAAATTGAAATCACATTATATGATGAACATTCTCTTAATAGACACACACTCCCTCTCTTCCCCCTCTCATCTATGATTTTTTATATTACGTTTATTATTTTCAGATGGAAAAGGGGGGCACTGTGATCAGATGTGTTTCTCTTGATGGCCAACTTGCGAAATTAGAATTAATGGGATCAGAGGCACTTCAACTTCTTCAAAAGATATTGCATCCTGTGACAGGGTTAGTTGATTTTAGAAAAATATCTCTCTTTATATTTAATTTGTGATCTTCAATAAGGCTTATTATGCTTGATGGCTTTACAGAATTGCAGAGAATCATTGGCAGTTGAAAAAACATGTGGCTACAGAGGAGGATTGTATTTCTCAGAATAACAGATCACCTATATCTAAAAGTGAGGATCATTTTTCTTATCATGCACTGTTATCTCTTAATGTCAAGGATCCTCGACTATTGCCCAAGAAAAATACTAGAGTCCCAATGGAGCCAACTTTGATTGAGGCATTGTGTGATGCACCACAAGGTAAACGTGAGGAGCTTCTTGACACAGAAGGGATATTAGTGAAGAATGAAGACTTACCCTCATCTTCATTGACAAAACTTGAAGGCCACCAGTACAGCAATGGTGATTTGTGGGGTGCTACTACCCGAGTATTAAGGCCCCCTTTTGAAGACAGTGTCATTTCTAAGGAGAAACATTGCAAACGCATTATCAATTTTTGCCTTGATGATGAAAATTTCAGTGATGTGAACTTTTTATTGAAGGAGCAGTGCTCAAGATCTTGTCCTATTCTGCTTTTGAAAAATGATAAGAAGGAATTGGTTATAGGGTAACTTCCTCTTATTTTTATTTCCTATTTCTTTCTAAATGCTGGAACTTTTTTAGTGTCTGGCAACATCAGGTGCACTTTATGAAAATTGTGTGCAAGATTACGTATTAGTTTTTGTTCATTGTTTACTAAAAATTATGTGGTAATTTATTTATTTTTAATGAAAATCCATTAAACACCAGATATTTCCATTCTTTAAAAGAAAACAAGACCTGCTTAGGATGTTTAGTGAAATAGTAAGATAGAAATGTTACAATAATTTATATCTTAATGCCATGATAATATCACAATGTTCTCTGGACATTCCTGAATTGTTTATACCATTCCTGTTACTTACGTTGCAATAATTTTTTTTTCTTTTCTTTTCTTTTTTTCTATCAATTATCTTCCAGATGGTCTTTAATACTTCCTCTGAGTTGGGTCAAAGCCTTCTGGATTCCTCTCATCTCTAATGGGGCACTTGCAGTAGGTTTAAGAGAGAAGCACTGGATTGCATGTGAGGTAAGCCTTTGTGCTGCAAAATTGTCAGAAAATTATGGTCTTCTGCATGGTTCATTGAATATTTTGCGTTTTTTTCCCTTTTCAATCCAGATGGGGATACCATTTTTTCCATCCGATTTTCCAGATTGTAAGGCGTATTCTTGCTTAATGACAGCTAAAGCTGCTTCACTTGACCATAAAGCAGAACTTTGCCCTCCGTCCACAAGGCCTTTGAGAGTTCCAATGCCACCCCCATGGAGTATTATTCGGATCAGTATTAACAAAGAGACTGGTAAAGCTGAAGCTTATAATGCTTCAACAGGGGAAACGGCACCTAATGCCAATTCATCACCATACTCTTGCAATGAACGCTATAAAATTATATCATCTGAGTGTGATGGTAATCTGTTTGGTGGAATTGTAGTGAGGACAGGTTGTATGCTGATTACATTCCTTGATGAAATCCAAGCTGGTCAATTGCTTTTGTTTCCCCAAGTTGCACATGAAAAGGCTAGAGCCTACAAGTCCGTGAAGGTTGAGGCAAAGCTTGATTTAAGCCATAGAAACTTTGATATTTATGACCCCAAGCTATGCTTTCTTAGAGTTTGTCTCCGCCCTTATAAGGAAGGCACTTTTGAAGAGGGAGCACTTGTTTGCGCACCTTTCCCTTCTGATATATCTTTGAGGATTTCAAGGTAATTAACATTTCAATTTAAATTCCTTCTCCACTAAAAAAAAAAAAAAAAGACTTTACCATTTCATAGTATTTCTTTTGCCTTTGTTGGAATACTAAATTTACCTGTGATTTGTAAAAATCTCGTTCCTATTGATGGGGCAATGGGGCAAATAGCCATGTTATGTTAGAGTTATATGATTTCAAGGCTTTCTTTGTCTTCCTTGTGAATCTCAATTTATGGGTCAAATTGTGGTTAGGGGAACAGAATGGATCGTATTCTATATTTCTTTTTTGTCTTGGGTGTAGCAGAAGATTAAGTTCATGCAATCTTGATGAAATCCTTTAGATATTGTGTCGAATTTTCAACAGTATTGCCATTTTTGAGTTTTAATTGAGTTAAAACTATAGGAATTGGGTTGTTTTAAATTAAAGTTCAGAGACTGAGTTTTAAGTAAGTTAAAACTATGGGGGCCAACTCAGTAATTTTCCCAAATATTTTTCATCTAGAATATCACTTATTTCATGTGATGGATGATTAAAAAAAAAGTAATTCATTATATGTCTTTGCAGTTCAGAGAAAAGCAAGATGGTTGAGTGTGATAGGGGATTGCATATTTCAGATGAGTCAATTGCCAAAGAGTCTCATCGATGGCCAATTGGCTTTGTTACAACACCAACTGTTCAAGGAAGGTCTGGAAGATGTTGTATTCTTCTTTGTCATCGTTTTTGTTTTTGGTTTTTTGGTCCTTACTAGGTGCAATATCTTTGCAGCAAGAAGCTAGTTGCAGAGGGCTTCTGCGAAGCCGTCTTACTAGCTCGCTTAAGAGAGGAGCAATGGAAGGAGACACCTCCCAAGCGAAGGAGAATGGAAATATACGTCCTTGTGAGGAATCCAAGATCTTCGGTATATAGACTTGCCCTTGCCTCTATTGTCCTGGAGCATCAACAAAATGACCTTGAGTTTTTGTAGGGATTGAGATCTAATATAGGACTAGTTGTTTATTTATTATTATTATTATTATTATTGGCCTAAAAGAAGATATCTTGATAGTCTTGTATTGTTTCTTTTTCATGGTTACAATAGAATTATGATTCCTTACTTCCATTGGATACTGATCCAAGGTTAAGGTAAATTATTGCTATTGAGATGTTTTTTAATGTTAAATCTGTCATTTAACTGTGTTATCCGGAGATTGTGTTTGAAGATTAAATGTGTAGGGCTTAAGATCTAATATAGGAGGAGTAGTTTGTTTATTATTATTATTATTATTATTATTATTATTGGCCTTTTTGCTTCTATATTAGTGGAGCTGCCTAAAAGAACTAAAGAAGATAGCTTGATAGTCTTGTTTTGTATGTTTTTCATGGTTACAATAGAATTATGATTTCCAGAATTCCATTGGACACTGATCCAAGGTTAAGGATGGCTAAATTATTGCTATTGAGATGTTTTTTAGTGTTAAATCTGTTATTGAACTCTGGTATCCTGAGGTTGTGTTTGAAGATGAAATGTCTAGTAAGAAACTATAAACAACAACAACAACAAGCCTTTATCCCACTAGGTGGGGTCGGCTACATGGATTGCAAGACGCCATTGTGCTCTATCATTTATTAAGCTTTTAGAAATATTATTAATTAAGAGATCACGTTCAACAACTTCCAAGAGTGTTCTCTTAGGCCTTCCTCTACCTCTCTTAATCGGACTCAAAGTTATATGTTCCACTCTTCTCACTGGTGCCTCCCTTGGTCTTCTTTGTACATGCCCAAACCATCTCAACCGATTTTCTACCATTTTTTCCTCAATAGGTGCCACCCTCACTTTTTCACGTATGTGCTCATTTCGAATTTTATCTTTACGTGTATGTCCGCACATCCATCGTAACATTCTCATCTCTGCTACTCTAACTTTATGCTCTTGCTGTCCCGTTAGAGCCCAGCATTCACTACTATATAACATTGCCGGTCTGATAGCAGTACGATAAAACTTTCCTTTAAGTTTATTAGGCACCTTACGGTCACAAATAACTCCTTTAGCTTTTCTCCAATTAAACCACCCAACTTGAATTCTATGTGAAATATCTCCACTGATTTCGCCATCGTTTTGGATAATGGCTCCCAAATATATAAACTTTTCCACTTGAGGTATAATTTGATCTCCCAATTTCACTTCCAAATTATTTTCGAATAGTCCTTTATCAAATTTACAATATAAATATTCCGTCTTACTTCTACTCAGACGAAAACCTTTCGACTCCAATGTCCTCCTCCATAACTCAAGTTTGCAATTAACCTCTTCTATTGTCTCTGCTATAAGAACTATATCATCCGCGAAGAGCATACATTTCGGGATTTCCTCTTGAATATGTTCCGTCAAAACATTTAAAATCAAGTTGAACAAATAAGGACTCAGAGATGATCCCTGATGTAGCCCAATCTTTATAGGAAAATCCTTTGTTTGACCACTAGGCGTTCTTATACTAGTTTTTACCCCCTCATACATATCTTGTATGGCTTTAATATAAGCAATCCGTACTCCCTTTTTTTCCAACGCTTTCCAAAGCACTTCTCTTGGTATACGGTCATAAGCTTTTTCCAAATCAATAAAAACCATGTGTAGATCTTTATCTTTACAACGATACTTTTCCATTAATCCCCTTAGTAGATAAATCGCCTCTGTAGTTGATCTACCTGGCATAAAACCAAATTGATTCTCAGAAATACTTGTCTCCAATCTCAACCTGTGCTCAATTACTTTCTCCCACAATTTCATTGTGTGGCTCATGAGTTTAATCCCTCTATAGTTAGTACAATTCTGAATATCCCCTTTATTTTTATAAATAGGAATTAATGTACTTCTCCTCCACTCATCAGGCATTTTCTTGGACCGTAAAATCACATTAAATAACTTAGTTAACCATCTCACCCCTTCTTCACCTAAACATTTCCACGCTTCGATAGATATACAATCAGGTCCGTTAGCTCTACCATTTGCCATTTTCTTAAGAGCTTCTTTTACCTCCTTATCATGTATTTTTCGATAGAATGACAAATTTTGTTCTCCTTCACCAGTTATTAAATCCTCCAAGTTACTAGATGAATCCTCTCCATCATTGAAAAGTTTAGAAAAATAAGTCTCCCATCTATTTTTAATTTCATCATCTGTAACTAAAATTCTTCCCTCTTCATCCTTAATACACCTTACCTGTTCTAGATCTCTTGATTTTCTTTCCCTACTCTTGGCAATCTTATAAATATTTTGCTCTCCTTCCTTCGTCTCAAGGTTCTTATAAAATTCTTCAAAAGCTTTAGAACGAGCTTCACCCACAGCTCTCTTAGTTTCCTTTTTAGCCATACGGTACCTCTCCCAATTTTCCTCATTGTTACACAAATGTATGGCTTTAAAACAGTTCTTCTTATACTTGATTTTGTCCTGTACACTATTATTCCACCATCAAGACTCCTTATCTCTCGGACCAGAACCTTTCGATTCTCCCAAAACTACTTTTGCAACCTCCCGTATCTTTTTAGCCATATCCTCCCATATGATGTTAGCACTTCCTGAGAATCCCAAATTCCTTTATCCAAAAGATTTCGCTTGAAAATATCTTGCTTCTCACCTTTTAATTGCCACCACCTAATCCTTAGTGTTACTACTTGTCGACGTTTTTGGATTTTACTCATAATACACACATCAAGGACTAGGACCCTATGTTGTGTCGTTACAGCATCTCCAGGGATCACCTTACAATTTTTACAAAGTTTTCTATCTGTATTCCTAACCAAAAGAAAATCAATCTGCGACCTTGAGGCTCCACTTTTGTAGGTGATGAGATGCTCATCTCTCTTCTTGAAACAAGTGTTGGCAATCTTAAAATCATACGCCAATGAGAAATCAAGAAGAGTTTGCCCTTCATTGTTTAGCTCTCCAAAACCAAAACCACCATGCACCCTCGCATACTGACCAGCTTCCCTCCCGACATGCCCATTAAAGTCTCCTCCAATAAAAATCTTTTCACTCTGTGGTATGTGTCGAATCAACCCCTCCAGATCCTCCCAAAATAATTCCTTAAGACTGGCTTTTGTCCTGACTTGCGGCGCATAAGCGCTAACAATATTAACAGTCTCACGTCCAATTATCATTTTTAAAGAAATAATTCTGTCTCCAATTCTGCTAACTTCTACAACGTTCTTCTTCCACTCCTTATCTATAATGATGCCTACTCCATTGCGTGCACTTACTTTTCCTGTATACCAAAGTTTGAAACCTTGAATATCCTTAGCTTCTTCTCCACACCATTTTGTTTCTTGCAAGCAAAGGATATTGATTTTCCTTTGAATCATAACCCCTACAACCTCTGCAGATTTACAATTTAATGTTCCAACATTCCAAGTACCAAATCTAATTTTGCTCTTATGGACTAACTTCTTTAGCCGCGTGCATCCAGAATGACACGGTAGCCCTTGCTCGTTTAACACTACATCCGGGCGCCGATGCAGCGGCTCTAACTCACTTATCACTGTACTCGAGCCATGCAGCGCGTTACTTACGGGCAACGACCTAGCATTAACATTATAACGTCTATTGTCCATGTTCATGATAGATTCAACAAATTTTTACATTGGCTGTTGATGGCCTAACACAACCCTCCTCCTTTACCCGGGCTTGGGACCGGCTATAAACATAGGCGGAGTTCTAGTAAGAAACTATATGCTTGAGAATACATAGCTTTTGTTAGGGTTTAGCCAGCTTCACTTTGACTAAAAATCTATTTGCACAACACAATTTTGTTCCTACTCATAGCATTCAATCAGGAAATTAAGTCTGTATCAGATTCCTTTGGATTATTCAATTAAACAGAGCACATGATCCTGAATGGTCTCATGCTTAGATTTTACATTTTTACCTTGTGACACAAATATTATAGTATTTGGACTTGAAATCAATTAAAGACAATATCAGGCTATCAAAATAGTTGATATTATATTCTCAAATTACTTATGACTCAATTATTCTAGGGATCAGTCGATATAAAGCAAAGCTCAAAAATATCTATAGCCATTAAGTTATAGCAATTTTTTTATTATTTACAAAAGCTCTAAACTTAGATATCATAATATTCCAACACAGACTGTTATCATATTGAGTTCTTCGGCCCATGTAATTCTTCGCTTATCTTCGGACAAGATGAGTGAAGAGAAGAAGCAGCCTTAAAAGTGATTATTTTCCATTTGAGGGCTCTAGATGCTATTCTCTAAAATAAATAGATACACTCAAGATAATCATATTTATAGATAATGATCTTCACCTTGTATCAAACTTCAAAGTGTGTGCTTTGCAACTTATTCAATTCCTCCAAAGTATTGTTTCAACCTCTCGCAAGGTTTTTCCCTTCCCTCGGGTCGTGTTCTCAAGATCATCATTTCATCAGTAAACTTATATATGCTCAACAAGCTTGTTCATCACATCCTTTGACATGTGCCGTCATGTCATGTGAAGTATAAACAGATGGCCTCCCTGTCATGATGAAACTTAGAACCAACCATTTCATATCTACAACCTTGTCATAACTTGAGAATTCTCCCTAGGTTGCTATGGCTCCGCGAGGAGCAAGTCAATAGTGACAATACCTTATTGGATTTTTCTGTTGCATTTCAGGACCTTGTCTCAACATTAAAGCCCTCCTTCTAAAGTTGGTAATCGACGCCAGTGATGGTTCATTTTCCCTCGTCCCTTCGTTGAATCATTATCATCCGTTGTCACCTTCCTCTTTCTTCGTTCTTCCCTCACAAGATTTCTCATATTGCTCTTGTTGAGAGCTGTGCAAAAGTCCAACGGTTCTGTCCAACTCAATCTGATCTGAGCAAACATGGTCCTGCAAAAAAATTTGACCCGAATAACTAAAAGAACCAACAAGACCAAATTTTATCTTTAGGTTGGATTGGATAGAACACTGAACTTTTAGACCACTTGATTGGGTCTAGTCTAGTTTGATAAAATTGTATAAATATAATTATAATTATAATTATTTTTTAATATAATTGAATGTGATGCCTAGGACCTTATTGTTGTAATGTAGTTTAGACATTTTTCAAGTTTGTTAAAAATTGATTGTAACTGAATTTTTTTTTTTGGTTATTAGAGATTCTTATGAATTTATTATGATTAACTTTTAATTTTTTTGCTA